AGATGATCTTCAGCAGGATAAGAGCTTTACTGTTGTACAAACAATATAGAAAGCGGGACCTTGGCAAATTTCACCACATCACAAGTTATAAGGATGCTTAACCTACCATTGGTTCTCTGTATAAAATTGAAATTCAGTATACGGAAAATTTACTAGAAATTTCCTATCAATGTCCTTGCATTTCTGGACATGGACTTTGCCAGCTTCTTTTTCCACGGAAAAGAAAAATATAGCATTCCCAAGACGGAGAATAACTTTTTCTAGAGCCAGTGTTGATTATAAGACTCTCCAGGACTAGACAAGAAAGCAGTGTCAGCCTGGTCAAAAGTGGAGGCCAAGCGAACACACACACACAGACACACAGATCTAGACAGGACGACTGCTTTACCCTCGCTTCCACGCCTACGCGTGGGCTCGGGTAATGAATGAAACACAGACAGACAAACCGAGTACCTAGTCCTCGCCTACGCAAAGCTGGGCGAGGCCAATAAGAGAGCCCACAGGTCTTGCAGTAGGAAGGAGATTGCATTACACAAATAAGAGCATGCAAAAAGTTTTTCAAGGAATCCTACTTTGTCTGGACACATTGACCGGATGAACCCGCACCATTTGTGTTGCCATTAGCAGCATTTGCACGGAAATTGTCCATGTTCGGATGTTATTTTTAGCTCTGGGTCACCGTAGTGAAGCAAGAGTCCATAACTTCAGTATTTTTCTGAGCCCAGCTATATGCCTCTGTAGTCTCGTCGCAGGTAGCAAAGGGACATGATGAGATAGCTATGCATAATGATAATAGTATGTACCTAATGTCCTAATTTCTTAGTTTTTGTTGTGATCTATTTGGCAATACATCAATCTGACTCTGATTTGTGCGTGCACTCAGCACTCTTGATTAGATTTGCCAGCAGCATGTGCTAGTAGCACACTCATAACTACTGCACATGCATTCAAATTAATTTTTGATGTAGCTAAGAATTTCACCAAATTCTTTTTTTTGAAAGAATAAATAACTGATGCTAATTTTAAAAAATGAATATATATATATATATGATGAAGTGATATCATAAAAACAAAAGCTAAATCAAAATTTAGAGTCTAGATAGAATTTAAGATAATAGATAGAAGTTGAGTTGTTTGATTTTACTTGGGAGAGAGTCCAAAAGTCTAATGGCAGATGGAACTCTCTCCCAAATTTGTAGTATTATGAGTTCTTATTATAAATGATACAATGGTCAACAACTCAATAAGAAAGAAGGAGAAAGAGAGCAGGAGAATAGTACAATAATCATTAAGTAATAACAACAGAAAGAGCTTATACACAGAGCTTAATTACATTCCAGTTACTATGGTGATTATAAAACACTTACTAATATTTAATATTTAATTTAATAAATGTTTTACAAGATGTACGAAAATGAAATAAAAACATAAATTGAAATTATAATACAGTAGAAAATGACCATCTTGAAGGAATGCCACCAAGTGCTGATGACACCCTGATTACATGTAAATAGAGTAAGAGAAGAGAGAGGAGGAGGGAGGAGTAAACGTAAGAAAAATCAAAACAAATAAATCGAGAAAATAAATAATCAGAGTAGAAGTAAATCAAAATAATTATATAAATCACTACAAACATTAATAATAATATATATAGAGAGAGAGG